CATCTCCAGATGTGTAATTAAAATAAAAACCAAGATCTCTTCCTGCCCCAGTTATTATTTTCTTATTTAAAGAGTGCCTCTCAGGTGTAATTAAGCCAGCCCCAGATGACAAAGCCCGGCACACATCCCCAGCATGGTGGTTGCCCCAGTGGCTGCTCGCTGGGCTTCCCAGCACCCCTGGAAAGGGCACAGCGAAGCAGCCAGGACAGGAGCAGCACCAAGCAAAGGACACACACGTCCCCACCTCCTGCCCACCCAGGAATGGACTCCACCACAGGAGAGGAGCCCCCCGGGACCAGGGCAGCCCCAGCCCCAGCTGTGTCACCGAGCGGCAGTGACAAGGTTTTGATCCCCAGAGATGTGCCGGCCACACACCGGGCTCTTGTCGGCGTTTTCGCTGCAGCATCGGCTCCCCGCGAGCACCCATGTAAAATTAACGGAGCACAGCAGCAGGTGTCAACGCCCTTCTCCTTCTCAGCTTCTGATCTCGGGTTTGACAGGAGCTCACATTCTCCCAGTGTTTGCCTGACTTCCACGATAATATATTCAGCAGAACTGGATACATTTCAAACCAGCTATTACACCACAGTGTGTTCCAACACAAATATATGCAGTGTAGCACAGCAACAATTCTGCTAGGAGCATTATTCCGTAACACAGATTGGGGGAAAAAACCATTTCCCTCCATTCCGGCATCCACTCCACCTGCCCAGCGGCTGCACGGAGCGGAGCGTGCCACAAAATGTGCTTTCCTGGCAAACTTGCGTGAAGTTATTTACAGAAAATAGACCTGATAAAAAAATCTAAGAAGTCGGAAATCTGCAGACTTTTAAAGCACCCTGGGTTTGAAGTCTGGTCTGGCTGCTTCTGGCACTTTCCTAAGCCCTCCAGGGCAGGAAGGGCAGAGCAGGGCACCAAGAGCCCGCGCTGCCTGCTGCGCAGGGACAGGACAAGCTGCCCCATTACGAATGAGGATTTGGAGGAATAAAATCAGCGCTGCAATTGGTTTGTGGGGGCCAAAGTGGTTTTTCTTGCTGTCTGTTTTCACAGGAGCCCCACTGCCATGGGTTCTCCCTGGCCAAGGCACCAACACGAGCTGTCCCAGGCAGCACCCGACTCTCCCCAGCGTGGTCCTTGGCACCTCGCCGCGCACCTACAGCTCCCCAGGGGAGCACTGCAGAAGGAAACCTCACGTACCTGTGCTCACCACTCAGCAACAGATGCGTTACAGCACGTACAGAGCTGCAGGAGCCAGAACCAGAGAGGTCAAAGAAGAGAAGCGAGCGTATGCTAAGACTGAGAGGAAGAGGAGCAATTTTTCCCCGATGGGTGAACTTGCCAAGTGCAGGTTTGGGGCTGGTTCAGCAGCCCGTCCACCACGCCGCGAGGTGTCCGAGCTAAGGGATAGCGGAGAAGGTTTCAGTAGAGGGCACCCAAGCCCCAGAAATGTGCGTCTGCCAGCCCCCGTGTTTACTCGCCGGTGTTTTAGGAGACGACTTCGGCACATGAATCTCGGTAATGCGAGCGCTGGGCCTCATAACTCACATTGATTGTAGTTGTATTACACTGGATGCATATAAATCTGAACAAAATACATGTGGATGCAGCTAATTCAAATGAACCCGTTTAGGTGCCATTAAAGAAAAAGAAGCCTCTTTTTCTTCATTAGTATGGAAAATTGTCAGAGCCATAGAAATGCTTACGTCTCTCTCCAAGGCTCATACGTCCTCTTAAGCACAGATCTGATTTGGAAAAGTCCTTACTCAACCAGTATTTTCCCCTAGATATCAATGAAATTATTTCCACTTCTTTTCCTACTTCTGCAAGCAGTTCCTTTCATACTGAGCAGTGAGAAGCCTCGCATTAAATTCATCTTCTTTAGAACAACCACAAACCTACAGCTTTATTTAGGGCCTCGGCTTTATGCATCTAGGAAGTGTAAAGCACACTTGAGTATCCTACACGTGTGGGAAACAGAGCTTTAAATACCACAGGCAGTCACTGCGAAGAAGGCAGCATGAAAATCCCAACGTATCTCAGCACCTCCCTAACTTGGAGTAACCAAACAGTCCTAGAGCATAAGTGGCACCCTACAAAAGGAAGTTGTATTTATAACAAAGACTTCACACTAACTGGTACCAAACACACTACAAAGTGATGAATCACCGCGGTGAAGCCACTTGCGCATCAGCTGGGAGCTGGACAAACACATCGTATTTTTAGCAGCACAATGGGGAGCCGTAAGAGAACACCAGAGCCCTTCTGCTGCGTCTGAATGTCCTTCAGCAGGGCGCCAGCACAGACAGCTGCAAACGGCCCCAACTTTATCCTCTACAAACCCACCCCTTGGTGTCCCCCACTCTCTGTAGGGCCAAGGACCACCCTGACCCCACAGCTCACGCAAAACCCCAGCAGCAGCACCAAGCTGGAGCCCTGTCCCCAGGAAGCTGCTCCGTTCATTTCCCAGACCCCCTGTCCTTTGGCACATCCATTTCGTCATGCTTTAATTACAGGATAACGATGTAACCCCACCAGAGCTGATGGGAAGATATGGCCTAATTGATAAAGATCATTACTCACAGGGGGGTGACAAAGAAAAGGGGGGGGGGGGGGAGAGAAAAAAAAACCCTAAGGCAATTATGGCACAGTCACCTGGTAGCTTCAAATCGCCCCTTTTCCATCACTTGAGGAGCAGCCCTGGGATCACCCTGGGGGGCAGCTGGGGGCTGCTGAGGCTGGGGGCAGTGTGGGAGCTCAGCACCATGAGGGGGGCAGGATGGGCAGCGCTGCATCGGTGCTCGGCTTCTTAGGGGAAGAAAGGATGTGCAAGTCCCTGGGACGGGGCATGAGCGCACCCCTGCCTCGTGTCTGAAGGTGTCTGATCCCATACACCCATCAGATGCTAATTGACTAAAACAATATGAAACATATTTCCTATGTTTGTGCTGTTCCTGCAGCAGATTCCAGAAGCTGAAGCAGAAGTCAGAGCCTTATTAGAGCCTGGTGCCAGCAAGCAGCAGCACCTCGTCGCTAATGAGCGGAATGCATCATCCCAGCAACTTCTTAATTTGAAGTTTACAAAATCAGAACTTCTTGTCCTGAGTTGCTGAAAAGCAAACTGTTGTCGATGTACAGCCTCTAAAAAGAGTACAAGAGTAACAGCCCTCTCTACCCTCTTCCTCCCACTGGGTTATTTTTTACCTCCAGGTGCAAAGATTTACCAGATTGTGACATTTAATTTTCTAATAATTCCCCTGCAACAGCTGTCCCTCATGTAAGCAATAAGTAAAGAAAATTCCTTGCATGCACTTTTGCCGAATCCTATCCTTTTTGGCGCCCTGAGAGATAAGACTGCCCTTAATGCAAGGCTCCCTTTTCGGTAACTCTGATTTGAGCACGGAGATTTCCTGCTGGCAGTCGGAGCCTGGGCTGCCCCCAGGAAAAGCAGCCCCGGAGCTCCTCGGAGGCTGGACATTTGCACAGGGCTTTGGAGGCGTTAAGCAGTGCCTTTGCCTCTCTGGCTCGGCTCTTAGGGAGGAGCAAGCAAAATCCCCTCCGTGGAAAAATAAAGCGGAGAGCCAAGGTCACGCTGGGGGGTGCCTTCCCCTGCCCCAAAGGAAGCACGAGCAAAGCCCTGGGGAGGATTTTGGAGATTTTGGGACAGTGGGGCCAGCATCCTCCGGAGGGGCTGGCGCTGCCCTGTGCCTGCAGCTCCCCCCCAGCCCCTCGCAGCCTTTCCTTGGAGCTCGTGGTGGCAGCAGCCGCCCTGCCCAAGCTCCCTCCCCAGCGCATGGACCAGGCAACGCGGTGACGGGCGCACCGGGTGTCCCCGCGGCACGGGTGCCTCCTTGGCGTGCTGCGTCTGCTCCCGTCAAATGCAAACCCCGGGAGCTTTGCTTTGGCTTTCAGACCACAGCGATTCGCACGCATCCCCTCCTCCAGCTCATCAGAGGCGCCCCAGCCGGGGTGAGCCGCCCGCAGACAGGACAGAGCTCTGCTTTCCTCACGGTGCGGAGCGCTCCGAGCTTTGCTGCCGAGGAGCGAGAAAGACAAGGGAAATTAAAAGGATGAACAGATACGGACTAATAGTATGTTTGTAAGAGAATTAAAGATTTGCTCTTCAGATGTTCCAGGCGATGTAGTTAGCAGACAGCTGGCAAATGGGAGCGATTGGAAATGATGGAATAGATCAAATTATTTAAATGAGAAAAAATAAATTCGCCCTAGCCTAGCCCAGCAAGTTGACAAAGCAGCCTACTTACCCGGTGCCTTCGCAGCGCTTTGTCTCCGTCACCGAGGTCATTACACTTGGCAGTGACAGCCCACGGGCACCAAACAGAACCGTCCCCAGGCCCCCTGCATCCCCCAGCTTCAGCCCCACTGGTCCAAGCCCCCAGCCCCACCACCTCACCTCGCCCTGCACCTGCTGTCAGGGACACAGGGGACACCGGGAGCTCTGGGGACACAGCAGAGAGGGGGATTCCCAGGACACAGGGGACAGCGGGGACCTCGGGGGACACCGGCACGGTGGGGTAGCCGGGGCTTGGGGGGAGCTGTTGGGGTGGGTTGGAGCCACCCCTGTGTCCATCCTGTATCCCCCGTGACCTGTGTCCCCTCTGTGTCCTGTGTCCCCTGTGTTCATCCCACATCCCCTGTGTCCATCCCGTGTCCTTCCCTGTGTCCTGTGTCCCCTGCGTCCATCCCATGTCCCGTATCCCCTGTGTGTCCCGTGTCCCGTACCCTACATCCCTTCTCGTGTCCTGCATCCCCCGTGTTTATCCCACGTCCCCGCTGCGTCCCGTGTCCCCTGCGCCCCCCTCGTGCCCGGTGCCCCCCTGAGCTGCTGCTGCGGTGCGCGCAGAGCGAGTGCGGGGCGCATCGGTGCGGGTGCGCGCGTGTCCGTGTGTGTGTGCACGCCTGTCTGTGCGCGTGTGCTTGTGCTTGTGTGCGTGTGCGTGCGTGTGTGTGTGTGTGTGTGTGTGTGTGTGTGTGCCCGCGTGTGCACGCTCCGCGCCGGGGCTTTGTGCGAGCTGCGCGCAGCAGCGGTAGGAGGGGACAGAGCCGCTCCGCACCGCACCGCCAGCCCCGGCTCCGCAGGTGCCTCCCGACCGCCACCGGCACCGGCCCCGGCCCCGGCGGGACGGGAGCCCTACGATGAGCCCCGGGCCGGAGCCCCCTGCCCCGCTGCCCCTGGGGCCGTAGGGCCGAGCCCCCCCCCCCCCCCCCTCCGCCCCAGTGCCCCCCCCGACGATGCCCCGGCTCTGGGCGGCTCTGGGCGGCGTGCTCTGGGAGTACTGCGCTGCGCTCCTGCTCGGCGGCTTCTGGGGCCAGGGCTCGCAGGGGATGCCGCATGTCATCCGGATCGGTAAGGGGGGAGATGGGGGGCTGCGACCCCCGGGGGGGGCGGGAAGGGGAGCCGGGGATGGGACCCCAGGATATGGGGGGGGCTGGGAAGGGATGGGGGAGGATATGGGGGGGATATGGGGACACAGGGGGGACGCGGGGGGCAGCAGCACGGTGGCCGGAGCGGAGCGGGGTGGCCCGGGGGGGGTGGCCCCTGGTATGGGGCAAGGGGTGAAAGGCTGGGGAGGGAGCTGGGAGAGGGGAGAGGAGGGCTGGGGGCTGCTGGAGAGGGGGTGCGGGGATCCCGGAGATGGGGTGGTGTGCCCAGAATGGGGTGCTGTGCCCCCCCAGGAAGGGGTGCTGTGCTGCTGGACACGGGGGTGCTGTGCTCCCGGGGAAAGGGGTGCTGTGTGCCTGAGAAGGGAGTGCTGCGGGTCTGGACGGGGGGGTGCTGTGCCCATGGAGAAAGGGGTGCTGTGCTTCGGAGAAGGGGGTGTTGTGTCCCTGAGAAAGGGTGCTGTGCCTTCAAGAAGGGGGTGCAGCGCCCCTGGAGAAAGGGGTGCTGTGCGCCTGGACAGGGGGATGCTGTGCTCCTGGAGAAGGGGGTGATGTGCCCAGGAAAAAGGGGTGCTGTGCCCCCCAGATGGAGATGCTGTGCCCCGGAGAAGGGGATATTGTGCCCCAAAATGGGGATGCTGTGCCACAGAGAAGGGGGTGCCACGCCACGGAGAAGGGGATGCTGTCTTCTTAACGAAGGGGGTGCTGTGCCCCAGAGATGGGGGTGCTGTGCCCCAGAGACGGGGGTGCTGTGCCCCAGGAAAAGGTGGTGCTGTGCCCCCAAGAAGTGGAGTACTGTGCCCTGGAGAAGGGGATGCTGTGCCAGTGCAAGCAGCGTGCTGGGCGAGAGGTGTCAAGGCTGCTGTAGCAGTGGTGCTGAGCAGAGGTGCAGGGCCAGGAGCAGCCCCCGGTTTTGGGGTCCTGCTGTGGGGTCCGTGTGCCCAGCACAGGGCTCGGGCAGTGCTGGGGGCCGAGGCTCGGAGCCCCGCAGCAGGAGGGTGCCAGCAGCTGCCTTTGCCGCAGCCGCTGCTGGGGGCCAGGCGTTTTTCATTAAATTGCTGAGGTTCTGGGAAAATTTAATTTTTAATAATGTTACATAAAGTAATTGCACAGATAACAGCTCGGGAAAGAGTCTGCGATCTTTCTTTTCTCTAATTAAAGTAGATTCTTAAGTGTGTCACGTAAAGAAAGTCTGATTTCCAGCTCCAGCCTCTGCACCTCGCCAGCAGCGCGCGTTCCCGGGGATTTGCTGCCTGCCCAGAAACACCGAGGACGGCTTTACCTGCCTGCTCGGGGAGCAAATCCTAAGCCAGGATGGAAACAAGTGGATAACGGAGAGATGTCTGAGTGTGCTTGAGGGAAAAAACGGATCTGATTTATCCCGGTGCAACTACACGGCAGCCCAGGGGAAGGAAGGAAGAGAAAAGGGAGCGCCCTGCGGGGCAGCTGCTGGCTGCAGAGGTGCCGTCACCCCTAGGAGGGCTCTGAGGGGGTCGTGGCCCAGAGCAGCTCACGGACTAGGGCCCGAGCCCCGCAGGGTGACCGTCTGCCCCCCCACGGGCTTCTGTCCGGGGTGCTTTTCCCGCAGCCGTGGTGCTGTGCGCGCTGCAGCACCACCGATCGCAGCCGGAGCTGCCCGGGGGGCCCCCGGGGCTGCCCAGCTTCCCGCAGTGCCCAGCTGCTCGCTGTGCTCGGCCAGACCTGGGGGCTGCTGGAAGCGTTTCGGGCGACAGACCCCCAAAAAGGCTCCCCAAAAAGCCCCCGCTGCCACGGCCAGGGTGCTGCAGCGGCGCGGTGCAGGCAGGGGACGGAGGCTGAGAGGGGGACAGGGCGAAGTCAAGACTGGCGGTGCCGAGACCCCTGCGAGCACCACCACGGCTCCAGGGGGGCGTTGGGGGCCAGGAGGAGCCCCCGGGGCTCTGTTCAGCCTCCCGTGTCCTGCAGATGGATTCAGGGCAGGCGCAGGGCTCAGCGGGTGCGATCAGGCAGGTGCTGCAGCGCGGCCTCGCTTTGTCCCAGAGAAATGACGGCAAATTCAGCCCCTGAGGACACCATCCCTCGTCAGGAGGGAGAGCAGGGACCTAAAAGTCAGGGGGAAGCTCTCGGTGGGGCTGCAGGGAGCTCTGTGTTCACCTGTGCTCTCGGCTGCAGCTGGAATAATTCTGACCTCTCTCTCAGTTGGCTGGGAAATTGCAGCTTTGTGTGTCCCCCCCCCCTCGCATTAATTTGTGCAAAGCTGCCCTGGCTTTCAAGTAATTCGTTTAATTATTAGGTTATGCCAAGACGCGGGAACAATTGCATGAGAATTGTTTTAAAACGGCAAATTAAAGCAGAGGGAAAACAGGTAACTTTTCAAAGCGCCCTTTTTCTCTGTGAAGCTGACTATTAAAATAAATACAGCGGCGTTTTTTATCTACAAGAGATAACTAAGAAAGGAGAGGAAAAGCCAAAAGCGCCCTTTTTCTCAGAAGTAAAATATAAATATTTAATCTGCACATCTAAACATAATCTACACGTACAAAGAAAACCTATGCCTCATTGCTGGATTTTTTTTTTTGGCTAATAAGTAGGAGTTTGCGTCTGAAGCTCGCTCAACAGCTGTTTAATTATTATGCAATCTGCTAAATATTTGAGAACGCCGGAGCAGAACGCAGCGCCCAGGTCTGTGCCATGCTCCCGGTGCTCGGTCTGGCACCGCATTATCCTGGTATAAGGACGGATAAGTAAGGATGGGAATGCAGTTACTCCGTGTTTACACCGCCGTGGCTGGGAGCGTTACTCCATGTTTACACCTCCGGGAGCAGGCTGAGATGCGCGGATTGTACCCGTTGTAAACACCGCACCGAGCGGCTGGGTATTTACAGGATCATCCCCTCGGTGAGCGCACGGTGATTGCTCTACCCACGACATCCTGCTCAGCTCTCCTCCCTCCTGCTCAGGGGGTGGCTGTGGGACCCCCCCAGGGACAGCCAGGGGCTCGGTGCCATTCTGAAGGGTCCCGGAGGGGAGGCCTGGGGTCAGTATCACGCTCCCCACCCTGTGGTGTTGGATGGCGCCGTGATCCCAAGCGCCCAGCTCTGCTGAGGCACCGCCAGAAAGGACTCTGCGCCGTGAGGGATGGCCTGCGAGCAAAATGCACGCACGGATCAGACGCGTGCCAGCGGCGTGAGATTAATAAGGGGTTATAAAACCAGACGGCGGGGGCAGCCCGCCCCACTGCACCACTCGTGTGTGTGATCTTTGGGGCTGTTGGCACTCGGGAGCTGACGCCCAGGCAGCGCAGCCTGGCTCTTGGTGCTTCCCTCCCCGCGGAGGCAGCAGCAGCGGTGGCCCCACAGAGCCCCCAGCGGGTCCAGCTCCGTGGCCCCCCCAGCCCTGCACCCCCTCACCCTTCCTCTTGCTGGAGAAGCTTGGCCTAGAAGAGATTTCATTTTGCTTTCTACTTATTTTAAAAGGAACCACCTGCACCTCTGGCTTTTTGCTTTTTTTCTTTCTATTTTTTTGCTTTTTTTTTTTTTTTGCTGTTTTGCTTTGGTTGGTTGATTGTTTTTTTTATTTTTTTTTTCCTACGATCATATTGCTGCTGATGTTTGTGACAATAATCGTACATCAAGAGGTTCTGAAACTCCCCCTCTCGCCTCGCCGAAGTCTCCATGCATGGAGCTGGGTTTTGGCCGAGCTTCACCTGAGCAGCCCGGGTTTGGTTCTAGCTGCCTCCTTCGAAGCTGCGTTTGCCTAGGAAAGGGGTCAGGGCATCGATTGTTTGTGTGATTTGCAAGTAACACAGAAAAGACAATCAAATTGGATTGGAGTCTGTGCGGAAAAAAAAAAAAAGAAAGCATTGATTATTTTGTAGAAATAGGCAGAAAACAAATTCTGCGGGCAGTAATCCTCCTCCGTGCGATTGGCTTTTCTGAGGCTCGTTCTGCCTGCCTGGAATTTTATTTTGCAATCACCTTCCCACACTCTGCAAATGAAGTTTCACGTTAAAAAAAAAAATAAAAGAAAGAAAGAAAAAGACAAAGCCAGGCTTTTCCAGGCTGAAAAAGGCAGTGGGCAAGGACTGGGGACCGCAGTGTCCCTGGGTTGGGGAGCCAGGAGCCCCAGATGGGATCAGAATTTGGAGCACGAGTGCCCAAAAGGGGGGCTGGGGCCGAGCTGCAGAGCATCGGGACCCCTCCTGCCACTTGTGGGGTCAAGTGCTCACATGGGTTTCTTTGGGATTCTGCTTTCTGCATGTTCACTGCTGCAAGTAAAGTGCTTTTTTTTTTCCTTTTCCTTTTTCTTTTTTTCCTCTCCTATTTTTAAATCACTCGATTGCCTTTGTGGCTTCTGCAACATTTCGGTTTGTCCTCCCGTGGCCGTACACCCACTGCTCCGGCACTTGGTGGCTGATGAAGTTATTTCAGGTCACGAGATGCTTTGTGTGTCAGATAACGTATTCGAGTAATTTCAGCAGGATATAAGGACGGCAGTGTAAATTGTTTGGTGGTAAATTAATTCTGAATACATTTGAATAACAATGTTACCTCTTTATCGCAGAATAGTCTAATTATTTGATCTTGGCATCCTCTTGAGAACTTCATGCAGGAAATTAAGATCAAACCGCAGAGCAGAAAAAAAAAAAAAAAAAGAGCCCCTCATTCATCCTGGGGGAAGGAGTGCCGCCAAAACACACAGCCCTGCTTAGTGCTGGGCTGCTTCCTCGGACACAGCGCGTGCTTTCTCCTGGCTGCGTGCCCAAAACCTGCAGATTTCTGCAGAATTTGGGGGCTGGGGGTGGCTCATGGGGGTGTGCAGGGAGCCTCCCTGCTGTGTCCGTGCCGCCGGGAGCCCCGCACGCAGGCGGCTCCGCGGTGAAGCCGCGCGCTCGCCCCGCGCTGCCGCTTTCTGCCTCGTCACCAGCAGGTGCAAATCCTGAAATCCACCGCTCGGCACTTCATTTCTCTGTCTTTTTTTTTACCA